GGGAAAAATCAAAAATACTCCTGTACAGATTCAATAATTCTGTAATTAAACTCAGAATATTATTCGAGTAATTAGGAAACTGCAAATAGAAAGATCCTGATATTATCTTCTCTTATATAAAGTACAAAATTAATAATAATATTTTGTGGAAAAATACATTCCTCTATGTCCGCAACATCCAACATTGGCAGATACGAGCTAAATATTATTGGCGATACTATTGCCTTGAGATGCCGACAAGACTGTACCAATAATTCTATTTCCGTCATAGCCGCGTTCGCTGTTCCTACTATCGCGGCAGAAAGCAGAAAAGGGATAAAAAAAAAGAGGGATGGCGCCGTGGAAGGGTGTCCAAATGAGGCCAATTATACCGGGGCTATCGATCGGGATTTTATCGGCGTGTCACCACTCGAGCGACTCCAATGCAAATATTTCTTTCGGAATGAAGCATCCTCGAATCCGAGGGAGACACGGGAGTTTGTTCGCATAAGGCGATCTCCTGAGCCTGAAAGCCCTGGCTATGAGCTACACGATAAAATAAGAAGACTTGAGAGAAATAAGAGCGCGCTTATTAAAAGCCAATGAAGAACATCCTTTTACGTGGAGAAATATTCAGCACAATAGTCTTCACCGAGAGAGAAGATCGGGGGAGCTTTCGTTCGAGCGAAAAAGGGGGAAAGAACAAAAGGAAAAGAGCACAACCGTTGAGATGAAAAATGATCACAAAAAAGAGTTATCGATACAACTGCTCGTTGTGTGTTGATTATGAACGAGAAATTGCTGGAAGAAATTTCTCGTTCATAATCAATACAACGAGCAATCTTTTTTTTTTTTTTTCATAACTTCAGCTGTATTTCGAAATGCTCGAAAAATCTTCAATTAGATTTTAAGAACAGTTTGCTGAAATACCTAAAAAAAAAAAGGCTAGATACGGATTTAAAAATAATTTTGCTGCATTATCAAAATAATTACGTAAAACACTTAAATTAAGTTAGAATGCAGCATTGTTCATCGTGTTTGAGTTTCTCATATAATTCTTATATAATTGTTTTAATAGTCCAATAAAATTATTTTCATATCTAAATTTTTAGATATTTCGGCAAAATCGTTCTTCCCGTGTAATTAAACAATTGAATAAACGGAATTTATGTATCATTCGATCCGCAACATTGATACTGATTGTCAATGTCACAAAGTTACAGATTTATAAGATAAATAACGCTAATTATGGCGTTATAAACAACGCGTCGTGTGAAGCTCTCTAAAAAAAGAAAAGGGCGTTCTGAGGAACGCGAGTTAGGTCGAGAGAAAGGAAAAAAAGGGCGGCGACTCACCACCATGTCAGAGCCACTCTTGGAGGCGTCGCTGACGGCGGAGGGGCTCCTTTCGATAACGAGGCCTCCAGGTACCGGTGTCGAGGTCGGTGTAGGTGTTGGTGTATTCGTGGGCGTCGGGGTCGCCGCCGAAGTGGTGCTGGCCGGCTGGCTTGACTTCGGGGTCGGTCCCGGTGTAACGACGGTGGACGATGCTGACACCGATTGATCCTTGTCGGAGCTTGTCTGGTTGTTTCCAGCAACGGCACCGCCGCCGCCGCCGACGATGGACGACGCTGCTCCTGCGGCCGCTGTCGAACTCGAACCACCGGACAATTCATCCGTTGGCAAAGAGCTCCCAACGTCTGTCAATAGCAAGTACACACGTTCCGTCCATTATTTAACCATTTCGAACACAACGTACTCTACGATCGGCACTTCAATGAGGAGTAATTTTATTAACTGCAGTTTCTCAAAAAAGTTACTTGTATACTGAAAAAGTCTAGTAATAGCTAAATGTACTTTGTGTTTAACGTGTTGGTGCAATATTCAACAAATTACTAAACATAATCATAGTAATCCTATTTGGTAATAATTAGAAAAGTAACATTAGCGTTTAGTTCAGTTTCAACCAGACTTTTTTCTATGTATCAGACTTCTCCTTCTAAAAATTTTTTACAAGTTAACCAAAATGTAAATAAAATATTAATTAAACAATTACATAGATTAGAGACGCTTTCTTCGAGCATAAAATGGTATTAACATATTACATAATTCAAGCTGTTAAAAATGCGCTTGTGATATTTTTACTGCTGTCATATAGTGTATAATTTTTAGTCCAATGTTGAACTGTTATAGAAAAACGAATTAATTTTTTCATTAACAAAGAACTCGTGGAAGTCGAATCGTGAAGTTACTCCTATCGTTTAACTTTTTTAATTATAACATGTTTTATGGAAGTTGGTTTCAGCTCATAATTTTCAGAAATTAATTCATAAGGAAATATGTGAGACTTTCTGACACTGAAAGAAATAATATATCGAGAAAAAATTTTTGTAACTATAATTACATGTTACTATAATTATTACTGCTATAATATTAGTAATAATAACTACAATATATACTTCTATCAACAAATGTATATAGTAACAACCAAAAATGACTATAATTATACTTGTTATTATTACAAAGTTGAAATTACTGACAATTAACCATATTATATGTTATCTCAAAAGGAATTTAACTAGTAATTTATAGTAACCATTTATTATTAATATTATAGCAGTAATAATCGTAATTATAGTGTAATATGTAATTACAGTTACAAATATAAAAAATCTTTCTCCAAGTGTATAATAAATGTCGGATTTTGATCAATTTTTCCAAAATTGTTAGCACATTTATAAAATTCGATTGAATGAAGTAATAAAAGAAATTTAAGTATTAAGTAAAGCGATATTTTCACAAAATAACTGCGTTATTCGCACCATGTACACGCATAGATGAACAATCCAGCATGAGTTTGCTGTTCCATATGCAGCAACCGGGCCAGAAAAAAGTTAACGAAACTAATTTAACTCTCTACGGCGTGAGAAATTCAACGAAAATAAACATTTATGCTGGCGTGGACAATGTTGTATCGCCGAGGGCGTATAATAGTCCAGGACAGTGTCTTTCTTGTTACATGCACGAGATATTCGTTCGTTACTTTCGTGCAAATTGCAAGGACAAAGTATGCCTTGATAAAGAAGAGCAAATTTGCAAAATCTGCGACGCTGCTTCGGATTATCTAAATATCTTGAAATTAACCTATTTCACCCAGGGTTACAATCGCGTTAAACAAATTTGCAAAATCCATAACATTTGTTTCGGATTATCTAACTATCTTGACCGTAGTTTGACTCCCGCGTCGAAGAGGACACAAATCCAAAGTCGAAACGTTCGTAGAGTTAACTTTGTTGGCGAATCCATTTCAATTGTTTGCGAATTCTATTATATCTTATTGCATTGTAAAGATATTATTTATGCGCTAACAACCGCGGAAGTTTTTATGAACAATTTACTTATATTTGATTTATTCTTAAAGCTATAGAACTATTTTTATTTTAAATATCTTGAAACTAACCTATTACAATGGAAATTATAACAATCGCATTGAAGAAATCTGCAAAATCCACGCTTTGTTTCGGATTATCTAAATATCTTATCCCCAGTTTGACTTCCGCATCAAAGAAGAAACTGAAATCCAGAGTTGAAATGTTTGCGGAAATAATTTTGTTGTAAGAATGAAATTGTAAAAATGAAATTGTAAGAGTGAATGTGTTGGTGAATACATTCCAATTGTTTTGCGAATTATATCTTATTCCATTATAAGTATATTATTTACGCGGAAGCTCTTACAGTCAATTTATTTTGAAATTATTCTTGAATTAGAGTCACAACATTATTTTTATTTTAAATATCTTGAATTTATCTATTACAAATTACAATCGGGGATTACAAACAATCGCGTTACGCAGCATCATCTTCTGCGCAAATCGAACACAAGGGACCTCATCTCTCCCGGCGTAAGCGAATTCCGTTCGCAGCGTGCAATCACACAGATTGTAATTACCTTGGGCGCTTCTTGCTACGACTAGCTCAACCAGACCACGGGCCTTCTGAAGAATCGAGATCGCCTGCTCATGGGAAACGTTTGAGTCTAAGGGCTGCCCATCGATCGCCAATATTTGATCTCCTTCTAACAGTCGACCGTCGCTGAAACAAAAATACCATAATTCAGGTATGTGTTTATTCGTGACGAAAATCACACTCGATTGCCACTTGTGAAAAATGAATCTCAAAGTAAATAAAACAGATTGCTGAGTGAACGATGAATTTTGCATTCAGACAGGCGACGAAATGGCGCGTATTACGCGAGGCATAATATTGTTTGCCATTGACATTTCCGGCCGTTTGGCGCGCGTATTTGCTTTACGTATTTCGAATTGGGTCGGCTAAATAATCAGGAAACGATCAATAATCAACTTATCTAATAACGCGATATGAATACCCACTATGCAAATACACGCGGCCCGCTCGGGTCTGTTATAATTAGATTGCTTTACGCGAGAGGAGGAGGGTGGACCGTGCATTATCAGATCGCTGCGATTTTTATTCGGTGAAGAGGAAGATAGGGGTTCCCTATTACGAAACATCGACGCACACGTAATTTCCTCCCTATCGCAACGACCGCAACATAATTAGCTCGTGCTCGTTTTAAGACTCTTTAACAACGCGGACGTAACGTTAAACTTCCAATCCTGAGTTATACGGCTGATATTAAACAAAAATCCTCCCCGTTTGCGAACGATAACGCTCACAGACAGGAGGCTGCAGGCGATATCTAGAATTTCCTCCCCTTATCTCGTATATTTATACAAAGGATTATCGTAACGTCGCCAACTCGACACAAGTGCTCGGTTACTGGTTATGATGTATAGAACAAGACAACGCGTGCCGATATGATGTAATGTATCATGAAATCCTTTGCAGTTTCCCTCCGACTCTACGGCGATTATATTTTTAATAAAATTATCAGCATCTCGCATCGCGCTAAAATTTCCATGACGTACAACAGTAATCGGATAATTCGTTTGAACGCTAACTCAATTTATTATGCAGCCCCTTGCAGTTGCCTTTTCGAGAACGTGAGATTACACCTTATATTACAGAGAATTAGATTAGAATAAACGCAGATGGTAGATAAGAAGACCGGACGCAGATTCGGTTCTCGCCGAATCGTTTATTTGTACACTGGAAAAAAAAATGTTTTATCAATAGTATATATTATTTTAATTAAAAATAATCTTGTTGATTTATATATACAGTGAGAGCAAAAAGTATTCGTACAAGGAAATTTTTTATAAAAAACAGTCGTACTTGTAAAAAATAATTAGCAATTTTATACAATAAATATATTCTGTTCTAACAAACGAGCATGTATTTCTGATTTTAGAAGCTAAATTTGTCGACTGTACAAACTTTTTGAGCATTTAAATAATAGAATTTTTAATTTCCGCTTATTTCTCAGATGATATATTTTCTATACTTAATACACATCTTTTTGGTATATATAATTTTAAGAAATATACAGTCTATTTTATTCTTTATGAATAAATTGTTAATTACCCAGCAAGAAATGATGGTCAATTAAACGTCGAATTGATGTCGAATTGGTGTTAAAATCATTGTATCGATATCAATTCGATGACTCAATTCTCGCTAGATAATATTTACTTTTTGAAGATAAAGTTTTTTTTAAAAAATATTTTCTCTGTAACGAATACTTTTTACACTCACTGTATATAATGACAATATTAATAAAACAAATAAAATTTTATTAAAACAATAGCACGGATTTGTTTTTTATTAATAATATTATTAAATTAATAAAATTATTTTCAATTAAAAACAATACTGTTGATATAAATCTAAAATATATAGCATTGTTTTATAATAATATATATTGATATGATTATTTTTTTAGTATATATTTTTTTAGTATATATAAACAAGATTTACGTTACTCGAGAGGGATGAAAGGAATGAAAGTTCCACGCGATACAGTTGTCCATTTAAAGGGCTATATAATGGAGATAGTAAGTTTTAAGCCATAAGAAATTAACTAATTATAATATATTCTCTTCATATTCAACTGTGATTGGTCAATTTCTTACAGTTTACGGTATGTTACTTCCATTATAGACGGCCCTTAAGAAATACAATGATGGATACAACAGATTGCCGTAATGCCGAGATACTTCGTGCCGAAAGTGGTCCCCGTCGTTCTATAGATGCTGTCAAGATACAACTAAGTTATCGATATATCGCTTCAAGTGGAACTAAGTGGAACAAGCCAGCCGGCCGTACGAGTCTACAATCTGTCGAGAAATTCGAACGACAATACGGCGGTACGAAGGATGAGGATAGTCTGATAAAGGTCTTTTGACAAGCGATAAGACCTGATATCTGATTAATTAAATTTCTCGATGACGGTCTTGGACAGGCAAGGCGAAATAACCGCTCGCTCACCAAGTACCTGTGTTGCCTCGTAACTTCCGCGTAATTAAAACCTGTTTGGGTCTTTATAAAACCGGAATGTTCCTTCTTTTGCGTAACGAATACTGGAAGCCGAAATAAGAAGCGTGATAGCTGCCTGAATAGGAGGCAACGTTTGAGTAGCAAATAAAAAGGACTTGTCCAATTTAATTTTAGAAATGCAAACAGGAATCTACAGAATTCTACCTTTTGGTTGAAGTTGAAATTCACAAATCCTCCGAGCGATGCTCCGCGCATCCTATATGGGAAACGTTCTATTTTCTAGTTCTTTTTCGTGTTGACATTAAAAATAAAATTTTTCGTGTAAACCGTGTCAGCTGACAAGGTAGTTGACTACATTCGAGCTAAAAATCGTTTAGAGAGTTTTCGATGCTCCTATATCTGTTGAAATTTAATGTCGAAGTATAAAATTATTAATAATTTAATAATATAAAATAAATTATTAATGAAATTTTAATTTTTATACATGCCATGAATAACAACAAATAATTAAAATAACGAGAAAATATCGCGCAGTAAGAACCTACGGGATCGAAATTGCAGTAAAAATCTCTCATGATGATAACGCTATCGGAAATAACATTATGTCCGTTACCGCTTCCACGTCGCCATCGTTTATCGAGTGGGGCATTCTCCGCGACATTTGGCATAGCACGCAAAGCTACACACCGCGATCCAGCATTTAATGGCACGATGGTGGTCACGTTACCCAATTTCCGTCAAACTGAATTTCAATGCCTGCGCTGTCGCTAATGATACTAATGATGTCGCTTTGGTCACGGTAATCTACGTTTCCATTTTCTGCGGTTTGAACAGGCGCCTGACGAGATCCGACAAGAACACAACTGTAATGATATAACAAGTCTTATGGAGCTGTGTCGACGTAGAACAAAGCCACGTTCTCGCAAAAACGAAGATTCTTAAGAGATTATCCCGAATCTCCCAAGAACTTAAGACCTGGGATACCAAACGTATAATTATTCATTCTGTACTCTGCTTTTTCATTTGTTACGATTATTCACTTTGCTATTCATCTTGCGCATTACGAAATGACATAAATGGTTCTTTGCATGAAACAATAATTTGCGCTAAATAAAAACCAAGAATGATATTAGTATATTCTAGAAAGGAACTTATTCCAACAAGGAAACACAAGTATCCTCCTTCAAAATATGAAACATATATTTTTTATAAGATTTTTTACACGTTAAGGGGATGAAAACTTTCTCTTGAAAAAAATATTAGTTTTTTTTCTTTCTAATGTCTAACCATCATTTACTCCATCATTTAAAAAATATTTTTAATTAAAATAGTTTCAATAGATTCAAGAATACTTTATAATAATAATAATAAAATTTTTTATCTCTTATAAAAATTTATAAGAGATAAAAAAATTATAAAATTTTAAGTACTAATTGGTAAACCGGATGGGAAAAGACCATTGGGTAGGCCAAGACGTAGATGGGAAGATAATATTATAATGGACCTTAACGAAATGGGGTACGAGGGTCACAAATGGAGGGATCTTGCTCAGGGACGGGAACAGTGGCGGGATTTGGTATTTGCGGCAATGAGCTTTCGAGTTCCTAACGCCTAATAATAATAATAATAATAATAATACTAAAAATTTATGATATAAAAAAAATTTTATTATTATAAAATATTTTTAAAACTATTTAACTTTTATTTATTTAAAACATTATCGATTTAAAATACCTTTTATATCTTTTGGGACGGTTTAGATATTCACTTAGAAAGAAAAAAACGACCTCTTTTAAAGGAGAATTTCACCCTCGTGCGAGAAAATCTATAAAGTCTCTTTTTTTTTTTCTATATTTTAACATATTCAGAGCTTATTAAAATCCGAGGGAGATACTCCGTTATGTTCCTTCTCTGTGTATATGAATTTACATTAATTAAACAAAAATGTTACAGAAAGAAATGAGATTTTAAAAACTGTACAGAAAGGACGCAACAAAGAACAACTGTACGGATAAAAGAAAATTAAAAAAATTGCTACGAGGATGAACTATAAACCGATATCATTTGCAGAAATTGCGCGGTAATAAATATCCGAAGAATAAAGTCATAACGATAAGAACGATGGAAATCCTCTTTGCGCGCGATACAAAAAAAAAAAACAAGTAAAAAATTCGTAAAATGAAGATATCAATGGTAATACGTATAAACTCGTTAGAATATAAAGATAGCAGTGAAATAGCAGTGGAAATACGACGCACGAATAAAAAGACGGCATTGATGTGCTTTGCACTTTGAAAATCACGAAAGAAAGGTGGATGGAAAGGTCATTCGCGAGATCATAATAATGACTCTGATAAAAATTTCGCTCGCAGCACGCGAGGTAGGTATAAAAGCGAAACATATAAGGATGATCGAATTAATGCAGTGGACAACGGTGGATGTGCGAGCGGATTGGCGCCGTGGCGCGCAGAAGCGTATAGGAAGCGGCGGTGCTCTCCCCGTATTCCAGCGCCCTGTAAATTATGAATGAGGCGTATCCTGCGCGAGCCCGTGTGTACCGAGCTCTCAGATTACTCCCGCAGCTCGCCCGGCGCTTCGAAGTATATACGAGGGTGGATAGCCTCGTGTAAGGGTAGCGAGTAAAAGAGAGTGGGCCGTGGAGTTCGTTCGACGTA